CAAATTGTAACTATTGTTTAAAAATAAAGTGCACGCTTTTGTAGCAATGTTGGGCTATAGAAATAGTCCCACATCGAAGTGATATGGGACAAAGTAAACATATATAACCAATTGCAGAGCAAAATCAACACCAAACGGGTTGAAGCTGGGGTCAAGTGCATGGATGTGTATGGCTGGCATAAATAGTCACGGTTCCTGACGTTAGTGTGGGAATGGTAGCGTTTTTATATTATTAAAGACGTTAGTATGGTAATGGTAGTGTTTTTATATTATTAAAGTAGTACGGATGGGTCGGACCCCGTTTTTTCGTTTGAACCGGAACGGTGTAGCCTATATCTTATCTGGATTACCCGATTTTGGATCGGATTATAACGGAACGACGTAGCCTATATCCGATCAGGACGCTCGATTATGGATCGAATCGATAATTTTTAAACCACTGATTAAAATGAAAATAGAAACGCATCATGAATATGGGGAGACAAGGGGAAAATGGTGTTTTTATTGAAACACATCATGAATATGGGGAGACAAGAGGAAAATGGTGTTTAAAATGGTACGGATGGGTCGGACCCTGCTTTTTCGTTTGAACAGGAACGGCGTAGCTTATATCTGATCCGAATCGCTTGATTCCGGATCGGATCGACGATTTTAAGGAAGCTTAAGTTTCATACTTTTGGATATCAGGGCAACCTAGAGTGTACTAGCCATTGGTTCCCCAAATTTAATGATATTAAAGAAAACTTGTGAAAACTTTCATACCACCCAGAAAACCATTTTTTTTTTTTGTGGTGAGGGAGAAGAGAGAGGAGTCCTAAAAGTTCATAGTGAGAGAGAAGTAGGGTTAAAAGTAGTTAAACCGACATGTCCAATATCATCGAAATGGGCAAAGTTGAAAAAACAGATATATGTGTAATAATGAAAAGTTTTCGATATTTTGATAATAATAGTAAATAAAATAGATATTTATATAATTTTCCCTATATAATAATATGTGAGCAAGTATTTAACATGTATACGAGTATTAGCGTATCAAAATTAGCTATTAAGTCATTACACCTCTATACATCATTTATATAACCTTGAGATAACTGGCGATGACAAAGGCTACCAAGGAGTGTCAAAGTTATCGGAAATAAATGTCATGTCCATGGTGTGTTTGGACAAATTGAAAAGTACATGCATGCGTGACCATGTTACCTAGGTAAAAATGAACAGGGATGAGAGCCTTGATAGCAAAAAATATTCAATAATGCTATTCACTATTAACATAAAATGCCATAATCATTCTTAACTCTTAGATGTGAAATCGAATAATTTGAAAGTTTGATATTTGCATGCTCAAAATCTAAGTAAAATTTATTTGAAATTTTGCTCCACATCCTTAGCCATTCAATTTAATATGTTATAGCTAGAAGTGATTGCGACTTCTTATACTAGATACAAATAATCTTATAGAATAATATCTTTCAATAAAATTTATCATGAATATACGTTTGTTGCAAATTTCAGTACCATACACGATGGCTATTGGGAGGATGCATCCGCATCCCATTGAGCATGGTTCGGGAGCTGATCCGGATATCCACGATGGACAATAGGAACAATTGGGATCATCCTAGTCGCCCATCCTAGGTGGCCTTTGGTGGATGTAGGTTTGCGGACTGTTATAAGATACATGATAAGCGTAATATGTTTATTTATTTATTTGTTAGAATTGTATATATCAAGAAGGTTTAAAAAAAGAGATCAGTGATCCAGATCAGGCACTTTAAAAACCATATCGGATCGGTAGATTTGCAATTCGAAGCAGAGAGTTTGCTGGATCTTTAGTTTTTGCCTTAAAAAAGTTCAAAAAATGACTATTTCTTTTTTAAAAAAAGTGTTTTTTAAATTTCAAAAAAATGGGGGTGTTACATTATGTATTTTCATTATTTGCAAAAATACGCAATATTGAGATATTGTTTCTGTTTGTATAATTATTTATTATAATATTTTAATATTGTGGCAAAATGATTCAAAGAAATATGAAAAACACTTCTACATTATAATATTACCAAAATAACACCATTGGTAATGTGAAATTAGTATCATATCCAACATTTACTAATTCCTTTTATTCATCCGAAATTATTACTACCTAACTAACTATAATATTATATACTGGAATTAGAATTATTGGGTTATATTTTATAATTATTTTATTATATGAATAAGAATAAATTTAAACTTTGTCTTATAATATCATCTAATCTAAAAAATTTCATTTACAACTATAGTAAAAAATAAATTAATAAATAAAATACAAGATTTGGTTATAGAATATATAATTATTAATTATGATATTATAATAAATATGATTAAAAAATAGAAAACATTTCCATATCATATGATTAAAAATAAAAATAAAACCTCTTATAAGTTTCAATATTATGACATTAAAAAAATGTTCAAAAAACGATTTTTCTCTAAAAAAAAAAAGAAGGAAAATAATGATATCAAAATTCAAAAAATTGAATCACACACCATATGCATCAATAAACTATATTCATTAAAAGCCCTATTTTTTTAAAAAATAATTAAATTTTAAAACTCGATTTCCCAAAATCCCCAAAATCGGCCCACATTATGGCCCAAAATCTATGGTCTTTTCGATTTCAATTCATTGTAACGGATCTGTAATATGGAACTGAGGTTCACTACGATCATTTTTAATAAAATTTCAAGACAGTTGGTTCAAATTTGAGGAAGAATCGATTGGTACGGCGGAACCCTAAAATATGTTGTACCTTCGTGCAAAAAAAATAAGTATATAGAAAAAAAATTTAAATACACCTGACTTATATGAGAACTAATCTTTATGGATCATGAACCCCACTGAAATTGGATCAAAATCGACCCAAAATGCACCAATGTCTTCAATTTTACTTAATTATTAAAATTTCAAGAACTTTTCGGTTTCTTGCCAAATGGATGGGGAATCCTAATTTAAGCGAACAAATATGAGTTAGAATACTGTATAAGATTCAATTATCTTCAAATAGAAACATATTTCATAAGATTTAATTGCAAAACAATGCTAAAATTTCAAGGAAGGCAGATTTGTACAAAACCTTCAAAAAACCCCTTTTCTCAATTCACAAATCTCAGATTGTTATTCATAATCAATTATAATCATTTTTCATTGATTCCATAGCAATAGTTCTCTAAAAAAGTGTCGCCAGTAGATAAAAAATCGATTAAATAATAAAAAACCCATGAACAAAATACATTTTTCGTGGTTGGAAAGTGTAATTACCGATTCCACTCTAGCAAATCAGTAATACGCTACAATGGAATTACCGTTTCTAGAGGTGACACTGCCGATATATTGCAGAAACCAGTTCAGGTAGAACGTTTCCCGATCCGGCCTGAGAACATTTTTGTTACAAATATTTCATGGTTACCCCTAACCACTAGAGCATTTTAATTTTATTGGAAACGGCATAGGCACCATTGTCCTCTCTCCTCATGCTGGTAGGTGGCGAAGGTAGGTGTGCTTATTACTTGTGTGTGAGAGAGAGAGATGTTTTCAGCAGTCCATCTATAATATAACTTATGGAATGATGTCATTTTAGGTTGTAAAAAACAGATACTTATCTTTTGGTGATTAGTCTTTCTTTATAGAAAAAACTTATAGTTCACAATATTGAATGAAACCCACAATAATTAAAGAATTGTATACAAAGATGAATATATAAGAATGGACAAAAAATATATATCATGATAAGATTGTAAGAATTTGTATTTGATTTAGAAGTGTAATCAATAATAGTTTGTCTATTTAAAAAACATAGAAGTATGAAAAATCCTTTTGTTTCCTTAACCTTCTAGAAGTAGTTCTTCGATTCTTTGTTAATTTTCTTCTAATTATATTTGAAGTATATAAGGGTGAGGTTTGTATAGTGCTCAGGCTCTAATTAGAGCCTACATTCAAATAGTATCGAGAAATGTGGTTTCACTAATAGAAATATTTGTGATAGCCTTAAAATATGTTTTCATGTTTATTTATAAAGTTTAAAGATTAAAAATAGCGTAGATAGACCGATCTATGAAAACTAGAAAATTTTAAAAATTGACAGTCAAAAAATATATAATAAAATATACTATTTTTAAAACTTGAAATCCAAATTTTTCTCGTGTCCATATATCTTGAGGTCGAGATAATCAATTTGAAGATATTTGAGCATCAAAACAACAATTTTTAATAAAATTTTTGAAGTAAGCTCAAATTTGATTGTTTAGAGCCTAGGCTCTATATAAACTTTTCCGAATGGATAAAAATTGTATGTCATTAGAATCGAATTTATTGGCGATAACAAAACCTTATCTCATAGCAATCCAATTGTGGGCAATAAATGTGACACTAATCCTTGATGGTAAGAATTTCCATTTGATCCGGAAGTACAAGCAAGAATATTTTGGCAATTTTAAAAAAAAAAAAGTAGGAAAATATTTTCGTTTCCTTCTTCTAGAAGTAGTTCTTCCATTTTTTTTGTTAATTTTCTTATAATTATATTTGAATTATAATTAGCCATTATGCATCCATTAATTTGTCATAATTATAATTAACTCTATTATTAATTGGTAAAAATCATCAAAATATTGTGCAATGATTCACGTGTCAAGTTCTTGATATGCTAGGTAATAATTCAATTTTTTAGATTATTGGGGTGTTATAGAATTTTAGGAAAAGTTAAGGGTAGTTGTTCGTTTAGGAGATAAGGATGTGTTCGTTTTATATTTTCGGGAGCCCAATTATTTATTTTCTTGAGCAACAAGAAAATTAAAATATTTTTTTCATATTTCAAAAATTAAAATATCTTTTCAATATTTGAAATATGCCATTCTAAAGACAATATCTCTTTCTTAACCTACAAGAAATAAAATTGGAAATATTTTATTTAAAGAATTCCTTTATTTATGCTTTGGCAGCTATAAATACCCATGTCTGAATTCTTGAGATCCCCATTAGAGTTCCTTAGTTCCTCTCCGTCTTTCTCTTTCTAAAACCCTTTCTCTCTCTCTAAACGTTTCCTGAGTTTTAATCGTTTCCTGAGTTTGAATCCGCCATGGCTCATCAAGCAGAGTCCTCAGATTCGTACGTATTCCTTCTCTCTCTCTATCTTGCCCTCTATCCCTCTCTTCCTGTACCTACTTTTTCCCTTTCTTCTCTCTCGGGTTACTTTCGTTCTGATTCTTATTCTTATTCTTATTCTTATTCTTCTAGAGTTACTGTTTCTTTCTGCAATGTTGATCTTGTTTTTGATTTTATGGCGTATTGTTTTTTGGATTGTGAATTGGGGGTAGGGGGTGATTGATAGTTTGTTTTGGTTGTGGAATTGCAGGAAGGGGACAAAGAGGGATTTTAGCACTGCGATCCTCGAAAGGAAGAAAGCAGCGAATCGATTGATTGTGGATGAAGCTATCAATGATGACAATTCGGTGGTTTCTATGCACCCTGATACAATGGAGAAGTTGCAGCTCTTCAGAGGCGATACAATTCTCATTAAGGTATACATTCTCAGGTCTAGGGTTTTTGTTAATTAGTATTTTGTGACTTAATTAGGGTTTTCGTATTTTGTAGTTTTGGTAAAATTGGGGTCTTTGGATAATTGACTTTTCTCTGTTCTAATTAGGGTTTTGGTATTTGGTAGCTTTTGGTAAAATTGGGGTCTTTGGATAATTGACGTTTTTCTATTTTTATAGTTCGTTTGAAATCTTAAGTGTTCTGGCGTTTCTAAAATAATGATGAGATATTGGGTTTCTGGTAATTACTATTGTTTCTTTTTCTTAGTTTTGTTTCCTCTACAACTTATTGGGTTTTAGTGATTCTTTTCTAAGTTGGCTTGTATATCGGATTGTACACAATCTCTCTGTGGATTCTTGTTGTATTGTGAATTCGTCTTTGATTTGAAATCGTATTAAATTTAAAACGGTTTTGTTTTATTAATCTGAATTCCCTGTACCTGTTCTACCACCCAAACCTCTCTCTGTGACCTCCCGATTTTATCATGTAGTTTGCCCTTTCGTTTGAGGAATATGATTTGTTGGGTTGTAATTATATTCTCTCTCGAGCAAGCTTTATTTCATAGGTTTATTCTGTATTTCTTTTTGATAAAATATAATATTTTGTTTTAACCAATTGGATTTCATAGTTATATTTTGCGGTGTTCGTGTGATTATTTGGTGGTAATTATACTCTCTCTCTCTCTCTCTCTCTTCACCTCCTTCCCCGGGGCCATTTAAAGAAAC